GGGATATGCTAAGAGGCGATGTTGGAACGAGTAGTTTGAATGATCCGTAGTGATATGGTAGTGAACACTTATAGGGATATCGATAGCCGATCGACTTCTCTTTAGACGATAACTTCTAGTGCCATGCAATTCTATTGACTTTGTTTTAGTAGAGCGATGAGCCTAATAATCTCTTTCTTTAGTGCCTCTACCTCTTTTTAATGATTACGCTCGAGTAGAGCTCTTTCTTCATTTTCCATTCTTTTCCTTCCTCTAATATGGTAAATGTGCGAGGGAAGTGTAGTTTTAACGAGTTGATCTATGTTTCTATCCAAACAAAAGGCAATAAATACATCATAAACAACATATTAAAGATAAAATGACACTCGAAAATGAATATGGAGTAACCATCTATGAGGGTGATAAAAGAAATCGATCAATGATTCTTTGATCCTCTTAAGTTTAAAGATGAATTCGGATTCATAAGTAACTTTTAAAGATTCCAAAAAGGGAACTCGCCTTGATAGATGATGGCGTTGATTTCCTAGTCCTTTTAATTTTAAAGTTGAATTTAGATTCATCGGTAATTTTTAAAGATTCTATGAGAGGGGTTACCTTGACACATGATGGCATTAATTACTCAATTCTTTTAAGTTTAAAGATGAAATCAAATTTATCGGTAACTTTTAAGAATTCTAAAAAAGAGGATTGCTTCAAAAAATGGTGGCATTGATTACTAGTTAGATCTAAATCCCGATGATATCTAACATATTTCCCATTTTATGTTTTAGATTACAAGCATTGCTTTATTTTGTAGAATGAAAGTGATTAACTTTGACGGCCTTGGTGCCAGCAATATCAACCCTAGAATTGCTTCCATTCGAGCCATTGAGCTATCTTAAATCTAATCAATGAGGATGGGATTCTCCATTACAAATGAGTCAACAAAATTTAAAGAAAGATTACAAAGCTTTTATTACCTAAATATTCAAAATGAGGAGCATGAGGGCTTCAATTAGTTCAAGATATAACTTTCTTTTTACATAAAAAAGAAGAGAACTCAAACAATGGAAAATAAAAAAAAATAAAAGAGCAATTCGTTCGACGAGTTTGATCGGACTTCAAAGACCTTTCCTCTTCTAGCCATTTCAAACGGCAAGTAGTCACATCTCCTTAGGTAGTCGATCATAGATTCATTATAATTTTTCACCCTATGTTCATTGATAGCCAAGCTTAGCTCTCAAAGTGCTATAGCTCTTTTGGAGACGTCCTTTATTTGATTGTCTAGTATAACTAAGTTGTTGCCTCATTCAGATCGACTTGAGATAAGTGGTTGTGTATGGTGTCCTAGTAATAGGATAACTTAATTAGCTCTCCTTCCGGATGTTAGTTCTCCTTCTTAAGTGTTGTGATCCGGCTTTATGCCTCTCCTACTTGCTACATTGAATCTCATCGATGGTTGTATTCGGTGCTTAGAGATAATTACCATTTCTCATTATCTTCTTTGAGCCTCTATATTTCGACCCCAAACTTTTTAACTCATGCTCAACTCATCTATCTTATGATTGTAGCTTGTCCAACTCAACATATTTGGCCTCCGGTTCGCTTAAGCTCAATGGCGGATCGGTTTTCGGTATTCCTTTTCGATAACTATACTTTGCCAACTCTCTAAATCCTACTCTAGGTCTAGTGTCTTTTCTTTATGTTTTTCTCTCATCCTTTTTTCCTCGGTCAAATCACTTGCTAGTTTTCAATTCTCAATCTTGAGCCTCTCAATTTCTTTGATGAGATCCTAATCATTTACAAGAATTAGATCCGAGGAATCCTCTATTCTCCTATTTTTTCCTTTAGACTAGCTAGGCATAACGCTTGGATCTCGTGGCATGATCGGTTCTCTCCCTTCAATAGGTTGGCTTAGGTATCCATTTCTCATGGTTTGGTCGAGTTAACCGGATGTTCATAGTCTTTCACCTTGTTTACTTACCATATAGGGTATTTCTCGGTTATTGCTAATTTGTGATCAACTATTCCTCTATCTACTTATTCTCGGAGTTAACCAATCTTTAAGACCTATTTGAGGAACCTAAGAGTGGCATCATTCTTGAGTTTTTCTTCAAATCCATTTAGGCCCATAGTTCTAGGGATGGCCTATCATAGCCAAATTGTCTTGATACCATAGAGGGAGCATAACAAGTATATTCGGTTACTCCTATTAAAGAGACCCGTGGTCATGCTCTACACTATGCTAGATATGGTCTTTGATTTATCCAAATCGTCTTTCATAGAAAACCCCTAGTTGATAAACTCGAAATGATGAAAATCACTCTTGTTTAGAATTGTTCTTGTTCTTCCATATGTCGATCGGGAACTCCTTCAATGGTCTTTAATTAGTCCATCAACATGTCTTGAAAACTAATTTATGGGTTTCGATATGGTCGATTACCCATAAAAAAGTAACCGAACATAACATTTTATACTCCCTTCCCTAAACCTTTTACAATGACTCAATAAGGTAAAAGTTTCAGCTAGAAAGGCAGACAATAGGAGTTAGGGGTGTTTCTCTATCTCATAAAGATGTTAGCCATATTTAGAATGATTAAACCGATAGATGAGGGGAAAAACACTAGCCTAAAGATCATAAGTGCTAAAATTTTGATTCATTTAGAGGTAGCTTTTGGATCTTTTAGTTTTTGTTTGAACACCTCCAACCAGACTTTCAAAATGCCAACCTTCAACATTTTCCTTAGCCTTTCCATGACTCATGATGATGTCTAACCGAGTCCTTTCCCTTTTTCTCGACATTCGATCACCTTTGGTATGGATAGACCCTATACAAAGTGCTCGGTATGTTTAGAAGCCGATGGTACTCCTCTAAGGCTAGGGTTACGTCTAGTCCTCCTATAGTAAAACATCTATATGAGAGGTCTTATAGGCGAGCCAATCCTTTAAGAGCGAGGCTTCGAATTGTTATCTCTAGCAACACCATGAGATTCCCATATTTAGCTCGAAACCCGTACTTGGTCATCGAGGCTCAACATCCTTCAACAATCAAGTAGTTTTTTAGTGTTGTTGATTACTAATTGAAAGTGTGTAATCTCCCTATAGTTGTTTTGAAATTCCAATCCTAGACAATCTTGCTCCATTTGTTGTAAAGCCTCATAATTTTTGTTGACTTCGACCACCAAATGAGTTTGGACTCGAATTCTCTTGTCACCCATCCCGAAACATTCGTGACCAAATGGTTTGGTCAAGGTTTTGATATATTCGACTTGCCCAATGAATTTATACAAGAAATTTGGTCCTAAGGTCCGGTTTCTAGCTATTACATGATGGGATGGGATCTATCTAAGTCTCGATAGGGTCTCTTTTGGCCTAGGAGAACCCGGAGCTAACCAAGTGCGATGATGGTAATCGTGAGGACCATTGATTACCTATCACGACAATGGCGGCTTTCCAAAAGAGTTGAGTTTTTGTGAGTGTTACACGGGACGAAGCCCTCCGGAGCACCATTAATTCCTCTTTAGATCCTAAGGTGAATAGAGATAACATTTGAAATTATACAATGTAGTGTGTGCATGGGCGTTATTTCATATCTAGTCTTAACAAAAACAAACAAAAATAAAAGCAAAAATAGAGACAAAAAAATGAAATGAATTAATAATAATAGGAAGGAATAAAAACACAAAGCAAATAATAATGGAAAGAAATGAATTTAAAAGGTAGACAAATTATACAAATTGGCATAAGGGAAAGCAAAACATCATATCATCAAAAATCGGAATTCACAAATTACATGCAAAGCCTAACCCTAAGTTTATTCCCCAATGGAGTCGCCATTCTATCACGGGGCAATGTCGGTGGTGAGGGTGACCTATTGAGGCAAAAATATAGAAAAATGGGCAAAAATGACTAGAGTTGCTGCTTAGTATTATGGTCACCGGAAACCCTATGACTGGTCGGGTAAGAGTTTTAGTTAACGGGTTTATTACGTGTAAGGAATATTAAAAATCACCTTACCACTTCTTGCCTAAGGCAAGTTGCATTATATACCACATTGATTTGATTTTGATTTTTTATGATAAAAGGCTATGCCTATTTCTTTCAAATATTTACCCCTAAGTCGAGTGATTTGAAACTTGTACGGCCGGATGCCTTATTCTCACTCCGTAATAGATAGCTAAAAAGTGATGAATGCAAGAATAAATGGCGCACATGACAATAAAACTTGACAAAAATAAGCAAAAATTGGCAAAATGGGCAAAAATGGGCTAAAATCGACAATGTATGCAAAAATAGGCAAAAATCAACAATTAGATAAGAGTAAGGCAAAAATCAGCAATAGAGGTAAGAAATTAGCAAAAATCAATAATTTAGGTGAATATAGGCAAAAATCGACAATTTAGGTAACAAACAACAATTAGGCTAAAATTGACAAAAATCGACAATTGGACTAAAATGGACAAAAGACGTAAATTGATAAAGTTGTCACAACGTACATAATTGAATTTATGATCATTCGACGTTGTATTTTTTACAAAAACCTTCACACAATTAATTTAGTGTTAATATCAATAAAATGGTCTCAACACATGATTTAGACCAACACGTTTTTTAAAAAAATATAACTAATGGTAAGCATCCAAATACATTCAAACCAACACATCATCCACCTAATCGTAAATGCAGCAATAACTTAATTTAAACACGCACCAACACAATTTAGATACATCACACGTGAACAATAGATTAAGTTAATTTATACGAGCACAATCATTTAATTAATTACGAGCACATAATGATATGAATCACATTTAATACACATAAAAATAAAATGAAATAAAGGGATGAGTTAAAAATAGATTATTGTAAATAAAACGAGCTAGATGGATTTGCTTAACGATCTCAAGATCGATTCAATCTTTTCAACCCCGATGGAGATCGATACTTAGTGAACCGAATAGGAAAGGTGATTATTGAATGCTTGTGCAAGTCATATCCGGACTACTTGCCGATCGATGTCGATGGCGGATACGAGGTACGTGGTGTGGATAGGCCGACTGGAGGAGGCACACATGCCGGAGGTTGACTTGGAGGAGGTGCGAGTAGGGTCGGCATGTGGGTTGTGCATGCACGGGAGGCTTGGCTTAGAGGAGGCATACGCACGGACATTGGCAACCAAGTATACGAGGCTAGGTGTACATTCGAGTGGCTTGGAAAAGGTGTGCATGTAAGCGTTAGCGAGCGGGCGTGCAAGGCTAGATGTGGGTACCGGTGGCCTAGAGGACGTGTGCACACGAGCGTTGATGAACGAGCACTGCTCGCATGCTAGATGTTGTGGGCTGGGAGGCATGCAACAAGGTGTTGTGGCTAAGAGGTATGCGTGCCCTCGGTGTCTAACACTAGGGGTGTGCAAGCGCGTTGGTCGGTGGAGGCCTAACAACATGTTGTGTTGCGTAAGAGACTCGTTAGGATGTGACTAGGGTGTGCTATGCTTGCATAAGGGATGGTCGTGGCTTGTGTGGGCGGATGGCGTAGGCGGTTGGGTGAGAAAGAATTGTGTGTGGGCGAGAGGATGAAGGTGGTCGGAGTGCTTTGGGTGTGACGAGTTGGTGGCTAGGGTAAATTTCTTGAAGATGATGAATAGTAGCTACCAATTTTAACGGAAGATGGTGTTTTTATACTAGTCCTTTACGGTTTTTTTGGCCAAAATTCGGTTTGGTCCCTCATTTTACAAACCTATTTTATTTTGATCCTTTTTCTCCTCTCCTTTTTAATTATATCCCTAATTATATTTTTTACTCTCTTTTTTTATTTTTTATTTTCTTTTTCTCTTTCTTTTTTTGAAAAAAATTAGGTGCTAACAAACTCTATTTGGCCGATTACTCCTTTCTTTTTGCCTTCCAAAATTCCGAATAGTGACATTATCATCTCCATCATCCTCAAATTCATCATATGGATCTGGTTGTCTTGTCACTCTTATTGGTTCTCTAAGTGTTTTCCTTGGTTGGTTTTGCTCATACCTCTCTATTATATCATTCATCTCCATGAACCTTTTTTCAATGGATTGAAGTGTCCATTGTATGGCTTTTATGTTAAAAGCCTCTTTCCTTGTATCATTTCCTCCTCCGAAATGGCCTGTCTCCTTAACTCGTATTTTTAGACATGATACACAAATTTAAGAGATTTAAGAATTTGAAAATCCTCACCATTCCCTTATGTGTTTACACTCAAAGATGAATCACTAAACTTTTGTGTTTTATGCAATTATTGGCTTTTTCTTTTTGATGTGCTCACATTCTTTGCCTTTTTCCTCTCAATTGTTCCTTTTTGAGCTTTTATAAGTCACTTAGAGAACACAATCAAATAATTAGAGAGTGGTTTGTTCAATTAAGTGAAATAAGCAAGCTGAATTCCTAATGTAGAAGTAAGGTCGAAGCTAATCCCCAATTACTTGTAATTTCCAAATTCAATAAACAAGCAATCAAGAGCATAAAATTATAGAATTTACAAGAAATAAGAATTAGGAAACAAAAATGGCAGAATCAACCAAGGATAGATGAATCTATGATTAAGTCTATGCTTTGATACCAAATGATATGAAATTGGAATTAGAACTTTTAAATTTGTAACTCCAAACCCAATGGATATTTTGATCCAAAAGAGATGAAGATTAAATCACTCAAAAACCTAAAAAAAATTCCTTTATGTCTAGGATCTATCAATCAAGATTCAAGAAAAACAAAGAAAATAGTCTTAAAATCTTTCAGTTATAGTGAGACCTTAAGAATAAGAACTATAACCTTTTATTTATATGAGGTAAAGACTATATCTATTAGGTGTTTGGGATTTTGAACACCACAAATAAAAGTTTGATAAGTTCTAAAGTACCAAACAAAAGCTTAAAGAAACAATTCTCACTTGAGAACGACATAGAAATTGTATTTTGAATATGTTGTCCCTATAAATGATAAAGCGTTTCCTTTATATAGTGAAAAGCCAAGGGTAATTATAGAATAAAGGAAAATACAATTCATAAATAACACTAATAATGCCTCTTTTGTAACCTCCCTTGTGTACCCTCTTTATCATTATGACAACCATATTCCTTTTCTTGTAACCCTCCTTATGTATCCTTCTCTTACCATGATAATGTAACTGGGTTATAATTCCACCATAATGAACTTAACCTCCACCATTATAAGGAATATTGAATGCTAGAATTAAGCGTAGCCACCCCTCCTTAATCAGATTACCTACATTAACACAAATAAGAAGATAAATTAGAACATAATAAAGAAAGCTTGAATCTAAGCCCAAAACTTATAGCTTATTTAGGCCTAACTTCAAATATTATTGAAACTAGGTTAATGTAAACATAAAAAGCTAAATAAAAATAGGCCTAAACAAATAAGACCCAACGAAATAAGACTCAACAAAATAAAATAAAACAATTTCCAAATAAATAAGGCACAACAAGTTCAAAACAAGGCTGAATTCTTTTAAGCCTTTTATTTTCATGTTGCTCGAACTTGGTTGGTAATGGCTTGAACCATGTTGACCATGGTTGTACTATCATGAACCATAAATATTTTTCCAAGAACAACCATTGAGCCAATGACTTGTATGAAGCTTGACAAAGGTTTTTTAACCTTCTTAACCCTAGCTCGAGTCTTGGGTCCTCCAAAATTGGTCAATGGGTTATTTTGGCTTGCTGAACCACCTTGATGTCCATCACCTAGCCATTTATTTTTTAAAATCTTTTCTTTTTCCTTTTTCTTTCATCAAAATCATGAATGTAAAACCTTTTTCATGATTATGATGTGCAAATGCATTTAACTAAAAATGTAATGCATTCATGTAAACCTTAACATGCATACTTACAAATCTCAAGAGCATGTAACATAAATAATAAATTCAATACATGTTCAACATCAATCAAGTATGCATGCTAAAACATGAATAAACAATGGATATAAACAATGCCTTAAAAACACATCATCATCGAAATATTTAAGTAACATAACCAATTCATTTTTCACATGAGTGCAACCATTTTTCATGTCATTTCTATTAGTATAGGTGCCCAAGATCTAACCTTGTTTAGATAGTTTAATTTATTATAATATTACATTCTTTATTTTATTAATAAACAAGTCTTTCTATCAATTCTTGTTGTTTGTATTTTGAATAGAATTAGATATAAGCCCATATGATATGCATTGCATTAATGATTGATAAAAAGATGTGAGATAAACATTAACACACTTAAATGATATCATTAAATATCCCAAGTCATAGTATTATCAAAAATGAACATTGACGATAAGTGGTAAGATTTATGAGTTTTATGCTCATATTGTAAGATAATAGTAGGAGATCTCACACCTATTGATATGGTTATGCCAAAGCAAGTACTTAGGTGATTAATGTTAGAGAGCTTATCACTAGACTTGACTCACTATGAGAATCCATTTGGTTTAGTTAATGGGAATCTCATACGAGACGGGTATAACTAGTCCTTTGACTTGAAATCATCACGATTATAGAGGATTTATGTACTTTGATACTCGTTTTGATGAGCTCGATCAAGATCTACACGTAGGCAATTTATTGGGTGCATTAAGAATCTAATAGAGATAAGTTGATGACTAAGATAGGGCATGTCATTCCTTGTATGCTAAAAGAGTTATCACATTGCACTTTAATAAATATTTGCTCAAGGAATCTATGGTCATAGTAGGAGTATACCAATAGAGTATAGTTAGTTTACTCTAGAGCTAAGACATTTAGAAATTGAAAAAAACTTGTGTGATCATAATCAAATAGATTAAAAACCAAGTTTGAGATCATATTATGATAAATTAACATGAGGACTAAATTGTATGGTAACCATGCTCATGACATTTAATTATGAATTAATTAATCTTCATAAAGAATTGAGTAGTCATGATGCCTTGCTAGAGGCCATCTTGATTTATATATCAAGAGATAAAAGATGTGTCTTTTATTCTTGATAAATTATCAACATATCTAGGAGCCTATTGAGTCACATGCATAAGTTTAAGCATTCATATAATAAAAAAGAAGCAAAGGTTTTGGAAAAGGTTTCTAGTTTTAAAATTTTCCTATTTTGAAAAAAAAAATTCAAAAATGGAAAGTTTTCTATTTTGGAAAAGGTTTCTTAGAATAAAAAGATTCCTATTTTAGAAATTAATTTCCTAAGTTGGCAATTAGTTCTAAATTTGAAAGTAAGTTACCTAAAAAGAAAATTAGTTTCCTAATTTAGGTTTAAGGGTAATTTAAAAAATTGTTTCCTAATGTGAGCTTCCTATAAATAACTAACCCAATTTATTTGGATAGTCCAAATCAATTGATAATTAATTAGGCTAGCAGAGTGTGGGTTAACGAGGCTTAATTTTAAAGCCTTTAAGATATTTTGATGGAAGGATAAACTTGACCCTTATTAGACAAGGATAAGGATTTATAAGGATGAGATCAAAAAACCCACATGCATTGCAACTCTTAGTCCTTAAAGGACTAGGAAGCCATAACCTAGAGTGCACTTCCTTGTCATTAGAGGATAAGGAAGCCATTCCTCTTATAAATAGAAGAGAGAGGTATGACAAAGAAAGGCTAACCATTAAGTGATATATGACATAAAAAAAAGAGAGAGAAAATAGTTTTTGCTCCCTAAAAATCACACTAACTCTGTCCCTCTCTTTTAAGGTTGTCGTAGAATATCCCAAAATAGATTTCTAAAGAGAAAAATTAAATAAGTCAGAAAAAAGTGAAGATTGCTTCTTGTATGGGTGCTTGAACTATGTGGATTATCGATAGAGGCCGGATACTTGGATGACTCTTTTTTCTATAAAGGTTGTATCTACGCTACAAGAGGTAATCTTTTACTCATGTTTTGATTCATGTATGTATAATCGGTTGATTCAATGACTTGAATTTAGGAGCTTTAGATAAAGAAAATTTTTTTATTTTATTCCGTACCTCCATAGGATGCATGATCCTTCAATTTCATACCTCTAAACCTTAACAATATCATTCAATTTCAAAACTAACCTTTTCCCTTATTTTTCTCATTTAGGTCGAAATTAGGACAATGGAAGGACAACTTTTATTTTATCATTTTACCTTAAAATTTCAACCTTGATCTCTTAACCTAATATGTTTTTTTTTTCATCATTTTAACACCAAGTAAGTTAAGTTGATCAATCAATCTAAACTTCTTAATTGGCTGAAATTCACCATAAAGTGACTAACTTTCAATGTTTCCAATTTAACACCATAAACACTCTTAAAGCATTCCTTCAAACACCTTGTAAACATTAAGTTCTAAAACTACTAATTTATTCATGTTTTAGGGTATCCAATCACCTTTTTTGAAAAATAAGGACAACATCAAAACACATGAGTTTACACCAATTAATCATCCAAATACTAAAATTTTAACATCAAGAACACATACACATCATTACAATCATCCAATTCAAACAACATCATATTATCTCAACAATTTAAGCATTAAACTTTAAATAAATAAACTTAAAATTAATTTTAATTACATATTAAAATGACTAATTTTTTATGGTA